TAATGTAATGTATGTATGTATGTATGTATGTATGTATGTATGTATGTATGTATGTATGTATGTATGTATGTATGTATGTATGTATGTATGTATGTATGTATGTATGTATGTATGTAATGTATGTATGTATGTATGTATGTATGTATGTATGTATGTATGTATGTATGTATGTATGTATGTATGTATGTATGTATGTATGTATGTATGTATGTATGTATGTATGTATGTATGTATGTATGTATGTATGTATGTATGTATGTATGTATGTATGTATGTATGTATGTATGTATGTATGTATGTATGTATGTATGTATGTATGTATGTATGTATGTAATGTATGTATGTATGTATGTATGTATGTATGTATGTATGTATGTATGTATGTATGTGTAGGTAGGTATAGGTATGTATGTATGTATGTAATGCATGTATGCATGTATGTATGTATGTATGTATGCATGCATGTATGTATGTATGCATGCATGTCATGCATGTATTTATGTATTTCCCGCAATAAACACGGTTTTCCTAGCGTTTTCGCAAAGAGGACGTCCAGATTTTCGGCAAAAGGATGCAGGAAGCCCAAGCCAGCAAAAAAGCCGGCAGGGGGAATCGAGCCTGGGACCCCTGTTTTGCGACACCGGCTCCCCGAAGACTACGTTTAGTGGAACGTCATCAAATTGCCGCGCGGTACGTGGGGGACCCCCCCCCCCCCATTTTTTTTTTAAAACCCACGTAATAGACGTCGGGCGGGGTTAGGGGGGGGGGTTTTTCCTCCATCCTCTAGTAAGTATCCGACACGCCGAGCAATGTCGGCGGACTTGGTGGCTCCCAGCCATGCCCTTAGCTTTTTAGCCTTTTAGTGTCTAGTGGTAGTTTCATTTGACCCACTAAAAGCTGAGCTTTTAGCGGGGGATCAGTTTGGGCAGCTCAGTTAAGACTCTGCATGTTCTTGTCGCACGGCATGTCGAAGACTCTGCATATGTTTGCGTCGTGAGGCCGGCTCTGACACAGAGGAGGTGGCTGAGGACTGGGCTGCAAGGTCTGAAAAAAGGGCCGCGGGGCGGAAGTTTCAAACACTTTTCTCGGATTATCTCTTTCTCTTCCTTTTTCTTTTTCTCTTTCTTTTCAAACTTAATTGCCTTTTATCATTACTTGAAACTTTCTCTTTCTGTTGTGTTCGTTCTCTTTCTCTAGCTTTGCTTTCTCTTTCTTGTCACGATCTTTCTTCTCTGTCCTTTGGGTTGCTTTTTGGGGGCCCTTGTCCAACAATCATGGAAGTGGACAAGAGGCCTTTTTGAGGGAACGGTAGACTTCCGAGCTCCCCAAGGGGCCACCGTCTTTTCTTTGGGGCATTTTGCTTGGATGTTAGGACTTTTACTTTTTGCCAACTAATGGGTTTGCCATCGAAGCACTAAAAGTTAAACTTTTAGCAGGGGAGCAGAAGGCCACCGCCGGCCTTGCAGGAAGAGTCGCGATTCCGGCCCGGGCCCTCACCACTGGGACTCGATTGCCGGTCTCGCTTGGCGACGTTTGGGTGTGGCAGTTTTCACAGGTTGTGTTCCTTGGACAACGCAATGATTCAGGCGGTGACAGGGAAGGTAGTTTGGAGACAAGTTGCGGCCGACGCGACGTGAATAAGGTGTTCCAGTGACTTCGCCCCAAAGAACAAGGGCGTCTTCCTTTTGTTTCCGTTTCTCACCCCGACGCAGTACCCAATGGAAGTGGCCCGTTGGACTTGTGGCGATCAGGCCTCGCATCATCCGTTCCACGCCCTCGCTGCCGGGGGTGGTCAGCCCTGTAAGGCTGGGGTGAGGGATCGTGCGTGTTGCGCGAGAGCACACGCTTGCATCGAGCAAGCTCGCACCAGCGCTTGAGCGAGAAAACAACAAATTAATTTCAAGGTGTCGTGGTGGGACCAAACCCTGGCACCTTCTGCGGGTCTAAAAACAAAGGATTTTCTTCTACTTTCTGATTCGCGCGCGGCCCTCTGCGGGGATTGGCGTATTCGATGTGTAAAAACAAAGGATTTTCTTCTACTTTCTGATTTGCGCGCGGCTCTCTGTGGGGCTTGGCGTGGTCGATGTGTACTTGAGGACCCGTGATTTCCGCGTGACCCTCTGCGGAGACTGAAATGGTTGGTGTGCAGCAACTAAAGAGTTTTACTTTTTCTTTTTTTTGTGTGGTTCCCATGCGACCCTGCGAGGATTGGCGTGGTCGATGTCTAGGACTTTTTCGACTCTTTGTGGCACGCAACCTTTGCGGGGAGCGGAGGGGTCGATGCGCGAAAACTGGCAACTCTTGGCGGTACTTGCGTGGAGAACGACCTTTGCATTCAGAACCACGCGCGCTAAATTTTTGCACAGATCAACTTGCAGAGGGACAGAGAGAGAGAGAGAGAGAGAGAGAGAGAGAGAGAGAGAGAGAGAGAGAGAGAGAGAGAGAGAGAGAGAGAGAGATGAGCCAGGGAGGGAGCCAGGGAGGGAGCCAGGGAGGGAGCCAGGGAGGAGCCAGGGAGAGGAGGGAGGGAGGGAGGGAGGGAGGGAGGGAGGGAGGGAGGGAGGGAGTTACGCAAAGAGCTTGCGCGCAAAAACTTGATAAAAGCACTTGCGTGCGCAGAGAAACATGCACTGACGGCTCGCCAAGAGAACTTGCATCGATAACTTTCGCCGACAAAGCGGAGCTGAGAAATTTGAGCCGAGAACCTTCGCAGAGAAACTTGAGAGCTTGCCCAGAGAACTCGAGAAGCTTGAGTGAACTTGCGCAGAGAGATAGCCCAGAGAATATTCTTTGCTCTGCACTTAGGTGTTACCTTTGTCACTCTTCATTCTGGCACTGCATAGTATATTGCACATATTGCCCTATATCTAGTTGTGCTTTCGGGCCCCTTTGCTTATAGTTTTTGAAAATAGTCAAAAGGGAAACCAAAACAGGATGTGTTGTTTTCCAGACCCCCTATTTAATTTAGCAGCTTCCTTTTGTGTGAAGAGGGTAACATGAAAAGCGGGGCCTTTCGTGGCTTACAGCTCACGTAGTACGCCTAGGATGTGCAAGAGGTCACGGAATCAAGGGACCACTTTGCTTGACACGCCTTTCACGGGAATTGCGGTTGCAAGGGGGCCCACTGCGAGGCCCTGTTTACCGGATTTGGGAATGCAAAGTCAACCATGTTGGTTTCACAAGCGCTTAAATGAAGCATGGGCTCAAGAACCCTTTCTGCCGTGACAACTAAAAGCAGTCACAGAGCAGTGAAGCCTATCCGATGGTCAGGATCACCTGTTTGGCCAAGACAAACTTGTTGCGACACTCAACGATTCAGCGCGGAGCACGCGTCTTGCAAGTGGAACGAACACACGTATGGTATTGCCACTTTTTATGGGGAGAAACCAGTGGGTGGAATTTTCAAGCCCGACCATGCAGATGAAAGGAGCCCACCAAACCATGTAGCCAAGCTCTTTGACATGATCGATGCGTAGTTGAAGGAAGGCGATATCGCGACGCCCTGACCGTCTCTACTTGCACCACAACTTGTGGGGTCCGCGCGATATATCACGTCGCACGGAATACACATACACATACCCAAAGCTCACGATGGGCAGAATCGTTTGGTCTGCTGAAGCTAGGTTCATGAATGAGTTACTCCAGACACTTTGCTGAAAAGAGCAGCACGCATATGCAGACAAACCCTCTTGTGAAGCCGAATCAGCACTTGGCAACACATGGACAGCACCTATTTCGGATGTGCCTGAAACAAGAGCCGTGGAAGCTTGAAAGCAAGTTGGACCTGCAAACAAGGCACCATTGCCTAATTATTCTGGAGGGATTCGTGGTCAACTTAGACATACCGACTTCAGCTTAGGGTTTAGGGGGATGTGTCGCATATGCCGTGTCCGCCGTATCTGTGGCGGTGTGACGCAATTCGCCTTCGCCAGGACAGATGGCTCCCCCAAGGTAGTGCCCTACCGGCCCCAGTCGCAGGTGAGGAGATGGGCACATGGCAGGGATGGAAAGGCCAGTCACGCCCGAACGACTTTTGGTTGAAGTTCACGAAAAGTTCCAATGGGGGATAGCCTGCAATAGATATTGACCTGCTTCCAGGGGAATGACATGGGTCACACGCGTTTTTTTTTTTGGGTTGAACTCCACCAACATTTCCAATGGGGGGAATAGCCTTTAGCACTGGATCTTGACCAGGGATTTCAGGGAACGACAGGGAGTTCACACCCAACCATTCAACTTCACCAAGATCCAATGATAGCTTTCGACTGCAGACACTCCCAACAAAGGACTGGCCTGACCCTTGGAGCCTGAAGGCCCCGAGTGGCAGGTGATCCCTATGTCTCCAGTGCCTGTGTCTCCAGCGCGAATCTTGCCGGGTGCTCAGAGTGCATCTCACAACTTAAGATGGGTGTGTATGCGTGTCCTTTGAGGGTATTATCGTTGAGGTTGGTTCAAGGGCACCAGAAGGAACACCATTTTGGGGCTAGGCTTGCCCAAATTTCACACCTGGACATCAACCGCTGGTGGGGATGTGCCCTATTGAAGTTCCCGCACAACTGCGCAGAGCATGCCTTCTCTGGGAGGACAGGGTTTTCGCCAAGGTCCTATCCGACGACTACGGTGGTGCAGGCGCTGTGACTTTTCCCCAAAAAACAAGTCAGGGAATGGTGTGCCAGTTCAGGCACATTAATCATAGAGCTCACATAGAAGTTGGTTTTTTTGCCCTGCTGCAGCAGTGTTGATTTGAAGACTTCAAGTCATGCAGCATCCTGCGCTTTACCTGGCTCACAGGTGTTGAGAGAGGCCTGTCAGTGTGACATGTGATGCCTCGCACCCCGCAAAAAAGACCAGCCGCCGCAGCAGTGAAGGCAATAGAGGCACACTCCCCTGAAAATTCATCACTGCTGTTGCCTTGACATGGATGTATACATTACGTATATATTGACTTTCAGTTGACGCAGCAGACATTTTAGTTAATTGTGTCTTTCGCTTCTCCTTTTCACTGGGACACGTCAGCTGTTTCATCTCAGTTTTGTCATGAGCTTTTCACTGAGCTGAATGGGAAGACTAACCCCCCTGCAAACACCCTTGGGTTTAAAGGTTTGCCCTATGTCTTGTTTCACCCAATTCAAGGGAGGTTCCTTTTGGGCGATGCCTCCGTGGGATGGCCGAAATCCATCTCGCACGCTTTGAAACCATGGTTGAAACCATGTTTTGGTTGGTTTGACAGGGGAATCGAATCATTCTAGGACTTCATAGGTGGTGCCCAGGAGGATTTCGTCCACCTATTCTGAAAAAACCTACAGGCGGCACCTGCGCCGATGACCTTCACCAACTGGTCCGAGTCCATGCGCGGGAGCCTCAGGTTTTCTTGAAGGTCGGATGGGTCTTGAGATGTGAACTAGGTCCCCCAATGATGCCCTTTTGCCCTTCGGGGGAGGGTTCCCCACTAAAATAGACTACAGAAAAAGAGGGTCCCCTTATTCAAACCTTTGTACTGGAGGACCTAGTGAAAGTCCCAGCTTTCCCGGTGAAGGTTTCTTAGAAAACACCGTTTGCCGGTTTTTTTTTGGGGGGGGGAAGGTTTCTTAGATTCATTGTATTGGAATACCCCTTCGATTTGAGGGGTGAGGGTGTTTTTTGTTTGGGGGGGGTGACCAACATGTGGGCTGGCGGGGGCACTTACTGTTCGGGGTGTGGGGTTTGTTTTAAGCGGAATCACAAGTCCAAGTGACATCCAACAATTGCCAACTCCACATTGTTTAAAGGGAAAGCCTTCCCAAATTAGTTTCGAGAACCCCTCAAAATGTTCAAAGGGGACGAACATCCAAACTACCTCAAGGACTCTCATCCCATGACTAGAGCGCGGTGTCCATGATGGTGTTTTTTGAGGGGGAAATTCTTAGAGTTGTTTTATAGGGAAAAGCAAAATGATCCATGTTTGGGTTTTTGGACTGTCTGTTTGGTTTGATGTAAAGGGAAAGAGGAATCACCGCATTGGGCCAACGCAACTGCCATGGCTTCTACTGTCAGTGGCCATTTTGGGTGCGGAATAGCTTCGTGATTCTCAACAGTCTAGAGGTACCTTCCTCATTCTTTCCAGGGATCCTTCTTTTCAGGAGATTTTTGAAAAGAACGATGGTTGAAAAGAATGGAAAAGGAATCAACCCCTAGAAACAGGGTCAACTTCTTCGCGTTTTCTCCTTGGCCAAAGCTCATCAGACGTCACATCAACAGACGTGAGCGCGGCCTTGCCGCCTTGCCGCTTCCGGCTGGGGATCGATCCGGCTGGGATTCCTTTGAGAAGTCTGTGTTTGAGATATGGGGTTGATCAAAGGTCCGTGATACATGGAATGACCATTGGGGCAAACCACTAGGATGATGTTTCCCGCTAAATGGGAGAAGTTACCATGGTCATTCGGGGGCCGAACGAATATGCATCACATATCTTTACCTCCGGTCGAACAGATGGCAACCCGGGCTGCAAGTGAAACTGCTCGAGTTTCGCAGCAGGTGCTGTCTTCAAGGGCTGAAATCTGTGGTTTAGGGACAAGCATTCTTTTTCACCTTGCCGACCGGACGCAAGGCACGAGGATGAGAATCTCACATTGGTACCGTGAGGTGGTGTTTTTTGGGGTTGCCCCCTGTTTTCTGGCTTTTATGCAGGGGCATTTTTTTCCCACAGCCGGTCAGGTCAGAGCCGAGGCAGTCCAAGCATGAGCCGCAGCATGTCGCCCACACGCGCCGCTGGCCCAGAGTCGCGGGTCAGCCAGCGGCCATTCTCGTCAAGAACGGTCGAATCTGTTCCCACCAACTAACATGCAACCTGACAGGGGGTCCCTTGAAAAGGACCATGGTCTTCCAGGAGCCTGTCAGGTTCCATGTTAATTGGTAGGCCATGCTAGCAGGGAAGCTTCCAGGATTGGAAGGCCTTCTGGGAGCTTCCATGGGTTATGGAAATGGTCTGCTCGCCGTATCCTCGTTGGAAGCGCCCGACTAGTTGAATTGGGGTTTGCATCGGAGAGGGCACGGATTCTTCTGGCTAGGTAAGTTGTGAGTAGGACGGTGAACCACAGACAGTAGGTCATGTTTAAGTTACTTTGGTTCGGCACTGGCTCATTTTGGCTCTTGTGATGTGCCAGTGCCATCGATGTTCCCAAAAAATCGCCAGAGAAGAGAGCCTCCTGGCAAAATGGGATTTGCCACTTGCGCGGGGCCAGCTTGGCAAGGACCACAACGAAGTGGTTTGCGGCAAGGCGTTTGGAGCTCAATGGGAAGGAAGGGGGGATGGCAAACCGTCGCCAGGAGCTTTCGCACAGCACTCCATATTGCTTGTGCTGGACAAGATTGAAAGGAACATCGCCAATCAAGAGATTTGCTTTGCAAGGTGTCCGGAGCATAGGACAATCATATTGACAAGCCATGAGGATTGCTGCCCACGGGCTGTTTGTCTCTCTCTCTCTCTCTCTGCCTGTGGCCCGGGAGCTTTGAGGCGCTACAACGGAGACAGAGCTCACAATGCGGAGATCTTCATGCCGTGAGCGACGCGCTGGGAGTTCCCGCCAAGAGTTGCGAAGGCAGAGCTCGTCGTTTGAGTTGATTGTGGTCCGGACTTCATTGTGTTGCGCATGGGCGGTGTCAAACATGTCGGCTGGTTTGCCCCCAGACGCCTCACACGTTGGGGCGCATCCCGTGAAAGCGCGAGCGCACTGAAAGGTCCGAGACACCAGGAATGACGTTTCACACAGCGATATGCCACTCACTTGATGGAAACAACGCATGGATGCAGGCAGCTTGTTGGAATGATGGTGTTGTTTCTGAGTGCGGTTTGCTTGCCACTGAGCGGATGGATGACGGTTTGAGGAATGTTGCTGGCACCTTGGTTTTTGGCCACAAGTGCTTTTCATGCTTGCCAAACAAGTGCCTCCCAAGCGCTCTTGACCCATAGTCGTCTCGCTGTTGTGAGACAAGCATGTGCAAAGGGGTCGGCATCGGCGCATCGGTGCCGATTTCCAGTGCTGCGCAGATGTCCTCGGATGCTTGGATCTCCGCCTTCAAAAGACCGGCTCCTTGGAAGTAGGGATGGTCAACAACTTGGGCAAGGTTTCATTCTCAAAGCATAAGGTTTCTTGAGTGTAGGACCTCTGGGGCTTTTTGACTTGGACAAGCCTGGAGTCTGGAGTTAGTCAGGGAGCCAGGAGTTTTGACCTGTGAGATCAGTATCGAAGCTGACGGTGGAAACACAAAGCAGTCTCACACCGTTTCCTGCCAAAGCTGCAGGAGCCCTTGGAGCAGCCGAAGATACTGCGGATGGTTGCGAAATCCATTTCGCACCACTTGAGAGGCCATGGTTGAAACGTCATTGTTTGTTGGTATTTACAGGAGAATCGATTCATTCCAGGGGATTCTTAGGCGGTGCAGGATTTCGTCCATCCACAGTAGGGCAAGTTGACAGACATCCCACAGACAGGCCCAGATGCTGATGGCAGCCTCACTTTCCCTATGTGTAGCTTCTCATTTTTCGTGGTCTTGCTTGGCGTTGAACGCGGGGCTGCTCCCTTTACCAGAGTCGCCTGGTTATGTGCTGGTGGCACTTCAGCCTTTGCCACCATGAAAGTTCAGCAGTTCGCTAACCGCTAACAGTTCTTGGTGAAGCAAAGGCTTCCTGATTAATGCAGACTGCATTCCGCAGATGTGGAAACGACGGCGAGACATGAGCTCTGTGCGTCAAGCAGTGTCTTTCATGTTGGCACTTGCAAGAAGTGGAAGCAGAGGAGACAACTGCACCACATTTCAGCAGCTTTCGCACAGGGTCCTGAAACTTAGAGCCGGAGGGAGACTCACGGCCACCCGACATTGCGAACGTGGGTCATGTGTTTGCTACTTTTTGCGGGGCAGACTCCAAAAATTGTCCCGGACCAGCTTCGGGTCTTCCTGGACAAGCTGGGAATACTGCAAGCTGGGAATACTGCAAGGGACACGCCAACGTCGGCGGAATTGAAGCCACTCCGCTCGGTGTTTGTCTTCAGAGGGATGTTATGCTGGCCAGTGGCGAGCATTGGCTTATCGTAGCTTCCGCTTGCCATTTGGATCTCTAGAGGTAGCAACCCGAAGCAATGCCCGTCTGTGCGTTCGATGCATGTGCACCTTTTCAGCCTCAAATCTTGATCCTAGTATCAGCAATTAGTCAATTCCCGGCCCTTCAGCAAACTGATTGTGTTGGATTTCTCATGCTGTCCGGCCGACGCCTCAGCGCACGATCTACCTGACCCTCGAGTGAGCCAGGCATTCAGGCCTCTTTTTGAATACAGATGCATTCGTATCTTGCTTTTTGTCCACATCTTGATCACTTGGAGATGTGTGCCACGGCTACTGCAAGCGATTCGGGCTCTTCCATGTGCTGCTGATGAAGTTCTAGCTTACAGGGCCTGCCAAATGGCTACGATATTCTTGAGCGAGTGTCTCCTTCAGGATGTCACTGCTTTGCAACCACCCCTTTTCAGCCGGAGCACGAAGCATGACTTCTGGGTTTGGCGCTGAGGGCTACCTTTCAGGAGTTATCTTAGGATCCATTGGATCTACAAGTTGCACATCTTCACTCTTGGCATGAGTTTGATTTCAAAGCAAGTATCTTTCAACAAGCAACAGAACAAAAGGCAATCAATATATATATATATACATACATATATATATATATATATGTATGTGATATGTGTAGATATGTATGTATATATATATATACATATGTATATATATATATACACATAAATCGTACTTTTGGTTCTTTGCATTTTCAGCGGAGCCGCCAAGCCCTGAGCTACAGAAGATCCGACCTTTGGTCTCCGGGTCTCAGGCCTCCGAGACGGTGCCGGACATGTCCACGGCCCCGTCTTTGCGGTCGCGGCGCTTCCCCGCGTGCAGAGCGGTTCCAGTTGCTGAAGGGATCCACTGGAGTTAGGGATCCATTTGGGTATGGGTCAAAAGTTTAGACCAGGAATCGGACCGCAGGTTTGGGTCCATGGTTCCATTTACCAGGGTTACGTTTTGGGTACCTAATTTGGACCCACAGCCATTTGCTTAAGAGATGATCTTAAAAAAAGAAGGGGAGCATCCATCTACTCAGCTGCTTGTTCATATTCCCTGGTTTTCAAGCGAATCTATCACTACTGGACCTATTTTCTTATTTTTTTCCGGGCGGACATGGAAGTGTGCTATTTCCGGGAGTTGGTTCTTGCGGCTTTGAGATTGAGGCTCAGGTCAACTAGTGTGGCTTCAACCTAGTCACTTTGGAGGCATGGGCAAAACGATTTCGTCCAGCATGCGAGACATACTTTGGGCGAGCTGCGGTGTCAAACGCAGCTTCCAGTAGCGCCGCCAACTCATCGTATGAATGCAGTGGGATAGCAAATTTGGACACATAGGCCGTCCCCAAATGGGGCCCTCCAAAATGTGTCATCCCCTGTGGTTTCCTTTGAATGCACAGGTTCATTCCCAAAGTTTCAGCCTCAGCATACCTCTGGGCAGAGCGCCCTTTTTGGCTCAAGGGGAAGGAAGTGCAAGGTGCCGCTCTCAAAGCTTACTGCTCTGTACCGTGCTACGATATGGCCATGAATTTCAATGGAGCACCCCTTGAAAAGTGATTGGTGGACAGACATCCCCACCTAAATGATGTCCACCAAAGCGTCCCTAGTGTCATACCCATATATGGCCGAGATGTGCAAGTCATGCGGCCGCAACCGGCACTTTGTTCTTTACACAGTCCGGTCAACGTTGTTCGAGGCAAGTCGAGCCAACCTTGAGCCCCCTCAGACATTGACTCACCAAACGCACCGCAACTCGCCTTTTCAACCAATCGTTCTGCCGTAAAGTGGAAGGATGTCATCTTGGACGTGTCCTTTATGGACATTGCCCCCTACAAAAACAACAACATCGCCCCATGCCCAAGTTCATGGCGAGCCGATCGGCAGGAAGAAAACCAAACGCTTCGGCCTTTGGCATGCGCTGGCTGCTGGCCTTTTTGCTGGAGTGCAGCCATGCGCAGCTTGCCGAGCAGAACAGGAGCTTGGTTGAACACCTGGTGGGGACTGGTTTCTCCGCCCACGTTCTGTTGAGTTCTTCAAAGGGAAGCTCCAAAACTTGCCGCTGCTCTGTAGGGAATGTGGGAATGAGCCCAGGAATTCCCTCAAAGGAAACCACAAGGGATGGTTTACAGGGGTCATTCCATTCTCTCATTTCTTACTAACAAGCAGCAAAAAAAAAACTAAAACACATTCCCAATAAAATCTTTGAAATATAAGAACCAGCAACCCAACATTCCATTCTCTCATTCCCTGGAATGGCAAGGCAGTGGCTGGTTCTTATGTTTTTCACTTCTACTGAGGGAACTCGTCAGGAGCTGCTTCTGGAGCGCGGCGGCGCGCTTTGAGCGTAGGAGCCCCAGAGAGCGCAAAGCAAAGGCTCCCAAGCCTTTTTTCAGCCCTGCGGTTTCCTTTGGTGGGCCTCAAAATGCCAACCAACAGGAAGTTCCTCATTTCAGGATTGTAAAAGTTACGTTTTGGTTGCCAGTGCAGTCATCCTTGGCCGGGGGTGATGTGTCAAGTCTTTGCTGGGTGACCAAGGATCGACGAACAGGGTCCCTTGAAAGATACATTGGGGTCCTCTTGAAAAAAACACCCCCCCCATTCAGGTGTTTTTAGAATGTGCCGCAAGGATGTGGGCTGGCCATGTTAAAGCAAGCTATGCTAACGGTTGATGTTCTTCTGGTGGGTGATTGCTGGTCCTGTTTCTGCGGAACATTTCATGCGGAACGGGCGTGCCGGCTTCAGATTGCCTTGTTTGACCACTCCAAAGGATCCCTTCAACTGGTTTGTTCCCTTTTCCATGGATTGAATCGGCAGGTCTCGGCACTGCAAAGGAACCTTCGAAGCTTCAAAGGTCATTCTTGGAGCTTAAGAGCACCCTCCAAGTCTTACTACAACCTTCCTACTCCTTTCTGTTCTTGCCCGAAAGCATCGTTCTTTTCAACTGGCTGCTTTTCTTTTGAGGCTTTTGGCTTTTGGTGGTTTTCTTTATCAAGAAGGGCCGTGGGTTCCGGATGGGGCAAGCTTCCAGGGTGGCTGGGCCAGCTAAGCCCACGGTAGCGTTCGGAATGGACGTCCTAGATCAGTCTAGGGCCTTAGGTCTTCACACCTTGAGAAGGAATGGTGGGTAATTGGTGGGGTCACGCGCACTTATCTGGGAATGATCTTAGTTCAGGAAGCCTGAACTGCGCCCAAGCGGCTGTAACACACCTTTATAATTCTCATGGTTCCTGCGCGAGAACCTCCGACTCCACTCGCAAACTCACACGCCCCACTCACACACTCCACTCGCGCACTCGTCCAAAACCCACTTGCACACTACTTGGGTGTTGCTCAAAATTGAAGAGCTAGGGCTACGCAGGTTTTTGTGCTTGGTTCCATTTACCAAGGTGCCATTATGGTACATTTGAGCCACAGCCACTTGGCAAATGTGGCGGGCCAAAAGAGCCGCAACAGCCCGAAGCTTGAGGCCAAGGACCAGCCGTGACAGCTCCAGCTTGCGCTTGCCCCCGCTGCTGCCTCCGCCACCTCCCATCTGCTCTGCCACGCAGGGAAGCGTTGCCCACAAGGCCGTGCTAGAACGCGCATCAAGTTGAAGCTCAGGGCCCAGGTGTTGAGGTGCAGAAATTCGGCGCTTAAAAGGCCAAAACCCAGCTGATCTTGTCACAGACCAATCACGCTGCACAGCATGCTCTGGACTCGGCCTGGGACCAATCACACTGCGCTGCATGCTCTGGACTCAGCCTGTTGGCTGGCAGGATGCCGTTGCTCACCAGCGGCTTGGGCAACGGCATACTGTGCCAGAATTTCCGGTCCAGATGGCACATCTGGCATCATGCCCATCAAACACGGAATGTGCCGCCGAAGGTTCTTCTGCATGCGCGCATCTGGCTGCGTCCACTTGCGGACTGTCTTCAGCCGTTGCGCAACCTCTCCAGTTGCACCACCTGATGCAAGTCCTCCTTGAAGCTGGGGGGTGCTCTCCACATCACACCCGAGCAGCGCCTGCACACCTATGTCCTTGGGATTTGACCTACCGCAAGCAGATCCCAAACTGTAGGAACGTCCCGAACTGTAAAAGCGTCCCAACCCGTGTGTTCCACCTGCTGCCTCTGGAACCAAGAGCACATGGCTGAGGCTTTTGGAGCCTGGCAGACTACCACCTTTTCAGCTCACTGCCTCAGCTTGGCGGTCCACTGCTGCACAAGGATGAGGCAAGGTGGTCAGGCTTCGAATGTTGATGACATGTGAAAGTTGCGGTACTGTTTGCCGTCCTCTTAGCAAAGTCTTGATGAGTCTTGACACGGTCAGCTACATAAGTCGCCTCAGCTTTCTGCGTCGTCAGGACCTTGGCATGCGACACATCAGCTTCGTGGCTGTGGCATCCCTGGAAAGGCGCTCTTGGCATGAGCCTTGCCGTCGGTGATTCGAATCGACGCATTCGAATTCGCTCGCTGTGGTTTGGCGGTTTTGCGGTTTTGCGTTTGTCACTTTGGGGGGTTGTCAAAACATGGCCGATTCTTTTTTTTGGACCCTGGTGCCCCCCTGTGCCGATGCCAAAACTCGCCCCTGATTTCGCAACCCAACTCCCCCCCCATCCCAGATGCTCCCCGATCCCCCCCCCCAAATGTTGACGTTGAGGGGATAAGCAACGAGCGCCATTGATGCAATGCACATAGACTTCAGGGCGGACTATGCGGTACGCATGGAGAGGGTATGGATGCATGCGGCGCCTGGGATGCAAGGTCGCAGCTTTGCCCGGAAAGGGGACAGGTTCAATTTCTTTATAGTATGGCTACGAGTTTTAATTGGGAATGCCTTCCTGAGTGGTTGTTGGACATGAATCCCTACGTACCTAAAGGATGTCCACCAAAGCGTCCCCAATTGAACAACATGCCCATATCTCCCAAGAAGCCTTTTCGACTTGTTGATGCCTGGATGTTTGCATAGACTGCCTCCTGAGCAAAAAGCAACCACTTTGTGCCCACGGGGGGCTCTGAATCCCACGCCGTGCGGATGTGAGCCACAGTCGAAACCCAGGTAGATGAACGGTAGTAGCGCAGCGGCCAGTCCCGACCGGAACTAGGTACGGCTTGGCTAGACCCTTTTAGTGCTAGGATTCGATTGTGACTCACATGCAGGATGTAGTTCTTCATGCCCCAATAAGCCACCCACATAGCTTTTTTTGGATTGGCCAATGCTTGGTCTTCCGGGTGTTCACCGTCAATAACATCTTCTGGCCGTTTGGCGTTGTCCAGCAGCTCAGGCTGCCAACCGCATCTACTTGGTGGACGCCCTGATACCAGGCACCCTTTTTGCATGGCGGTGTGGTCTCACTTTCCAAGACCGGGCCCGAAACAGGTTCAAACAAACTGGTCCCTTCTTGCACCAATTGTATGCAGCATCCAAGAGTCCATTTGTTGGACCTCATTAAACGGATCAAGTAATGACAAACACGGCAATTTCTTTACTGGAAGCCGGGGCTCCATTGCAACAACTACTTCTCAGCAACTTCCCAGATTGCTCAGGTCTGGCTTTGACTAAATAAATAAATAAATAAATAAATAAATAAATAATTAAATATATACATATAGAACAGAAAAAGAAAAGAAAACAAAACAAAACAAAAGCAACCACTGTTATTTATGTATATTCCTTTGAACCCACCCGTTTTAAGGATACCCTGCGCCCAGATTTTCTTTGCAGGTCTTCCGCACAGTTGTCAAGTGGTGCTCAACGACGGCCATGAGGACCGACGCCGCCTGCGGCTGCACTTGGCACAGCGGAGAAATCCCAAGTTGGCGACCCCTGCAGGTGGGTTTCCTTTTGGTTTCACGTTCGAAAACATGCCAAAAGGTGTCTGATTCCGATTTTGATCGTCTCCCGGGCTTTGAACCTATTCTGACAAATGGGCCTGTGA